CAATAGTAGTATAGGGTACCATATCAGGGGTTCTGAGCAACCAGGAGAAGGATCTACGCAGCCGTGCCATGTTGCAAGTGATGCTCCAGCCTTGGCAAGGACTTTGCAGTTTCAATCTGAGTCAGAATCGAGACTCCTTCAAAGGGGGCTATTTAGGGGACTACTTGGGGGACCATTATAGGGGATATTAAGGTGGATACCAGGAGTTTAGACTACGGCTCGTCTGTCTCTCCGTATGGTGGTTTCCATCAATCAGGGGGCCCCAATACAGACCCCAAAAGACTAATCCTTCTTATTTGGACCCCCCCAGAAGGTACCCTAATTGATGGACACCCTAGACCTGATGCGATCACATATATAATCCCAGTTCCCTTTTCATTTTTTGGCCACTTGATTCTCCACTATTGGGGTAAGATCCCTATATACTCCCCTATACGCCTATGTAGTCCCCTAGCACCCTCGTGACTTTTTTCGGTGTGCACCTGCCATGGCCATGGAAAGCACTCAAAAGGATTTACGCAGATGACATAAAGATAACTTTGTTGCGGCGGTTAGGGTTGCAGCGTTTTTCCACGTATAGAAATCATCTCCTTGAAGTGCATGGCACACGAAACTAGGGCACTGTCCCAGACCAGCAGCAGCTAAGGATGGAGCGGTATCCTGAGCTCAACTATCGAAACTTCCTGAAGCATGAGGTCCATGTTGTCTGCTGGGCGCGCCTGTGAAGTTAGGCAGTTTGATTTGTGTACACTTTAGTTGCTTCACCATGTGTGCTATGTGATCAATCCGGCTGTTGCTGTTTGAGTCAATTTTGTCGCGGGGGCCGCTTCCCTCTGCCCGGCTGCAAGCCTGAAGGCAGGCGGGTTTCATGCAGATACGGCAAAATAGCCAAAGACATTTCTTAGAAAGTTTCTAGCCAGCTGAACTTCTTGCGGCCTGTCTGGCCGCTTCTTCACCTTCATGAGATTTTCGGCTTGTGGTTCAGCATGATGGCTTCTCCCTCCAAGCTGCAGATCTTGCAGGGACAATGCTCTCCACGCTGAGAACATCGAGCTTGGCTGTGCGGGCCACAGTGAATGCTTTGCAGGACAATGGCGTACATGCATGCGTTTTGTCATGAAGGCAAAACAGGGTGTTCGTGGATTTGCCTCGAAGGAGCTTGGCAAACAGATCCCACTTGCGGTCTCCATTCCATAGTGCTTGTGAGTCGCAGGACATTAGACATGGCACTAGTGCCAGAGCCGCAATGCTCCACGGCGCGAAGCTCATTGCGTGCAAGCAGAGATGACCTCCAAATGTTTTAGATGCTTGTCCATGTATTAAGCTGCAGGTGCCAATCGGCTGGCTGACGCAGTAGCTGTGACACTCGGCCCGAAGGTGGGATGCCGGCCGGCACCATGCAACCCACCATTCATGACTCTGTTTCACAAGGACTGTAACAGATCTTGATGCAGACATGCCTCCAATCTCACCCTTTCCAATTTGAAGGAGCCCAGTTTCGAACAAGTTCACCAAAAGTTCAAGTCGTACACCAATATCTGATGCCATGCATGAACTGTGGCTCTGATGCCCCAGGGTTTGCCTGACAGGGCCGTAACGTTGTCATCGAGCAGAGTTTCGGCGCCCCAAAGGCTAAGACTGATGCGTCGCAGCAACGCAGGTTACCAGCCAGTGTTGGTCGTGCAGGTGACGAAAGATGGAGTGACAGTTGCAAAAGCTGTTGCAGTGGCCCAAGTGCTGAAGATCAAAGCTTCGCAATGTGTCCCAGTCCTCGACCCAGGAGTTCAAAAACAAGCTTGTCAACGTGGGAGCTTCGCTCATCAAGCAGGCTCCTTCTGGTGCACTCGTCATATGTCTGGGCTTTGTTCGCACCTGACCGTGCAGGTAGCCTCCAAGACAAATGACCTCGCTGGAGACGGTACCACCACGCAATCATCTCGGTATCATTGCCTATGCAGGCGGTCAGTACGGCTGTGAGTGTTACGGGAGGTCAACTGTCCTGGCCCGGGCTATCTTTCGTGAAGGAACTAAGGCTGTGCTGTACTGAGCAGCTCCATCCAGTGAAATTTTAGGCAAGTCCCAGAGAACCTGTGGGCCTAGGTTGTGGCTGGCATGAACCCAATGGCGCCGAACTCAGCCTGCATGATATCATGGGCATATGTTCTGTGACATGGCAGCGGCCTGCACGAAGGATGTCAAGAGAGGAATAGATTCTTCGGTGAAGATTGTTTTGGAGGACGGTACGTCTCTTACTCACATGTTTCCGCTTTTCGTTGAGCTTGAAGGACTTGGAGAAGCGCGCTACCGAAATCTCTTCACCAAAAGAGATCGCGCAGGCAGCTGATGAAGAATTGCAGCTGCTTCGATTTTCCTTATCATATATAGTAATTCAAGTTCCTTCACAGCAACCTAGTCGACCACCATGTGCGGTCGCAGGTAGCCACCATCTCTGCCAACGGTGATGTCGCCCTTGCAAACTTTCTTGCTGGTGGTTAGTAGGGAATAAGGGAATATAAGCCCTATATAACCCCTATATTTCCCTGATTCCTTGACTACCCACCCGGCAAGGTTTGCAGGTATACGATTCCCGATTTCGGCACGCATTCCAGCCAGGAAATCATCGGCCAAATGGTTGCAGAGGCTTTTGAGAAAGTTGGGAAGGACTGCGGTAACAGGCTGCCGATGCATGGAGGTTTCCCAAAATTCGGGGCTTCGGGGTTCCCTATAATAAGGATCATAGTCTTTTAGGGTCTATATTGGCCCCCCCCCTTTTTAGCCATACTACCACATTGCGTAGAATGGAGACTTTGTTTCGAGAGCGTCTTCCAGATGCACCATGCCCAACCTTAGTAATAGTAGTAGTAGTAGTAGTAGTAATAATAGTAGTAGTAGTAGTAGTAGTCATAGTAATGACAATCATTGTGTTCATAGCAGTCACGGTATTTGTACTGGTAATGATACAAATTACTGACTTTTCTTGCCCTAAAGCCTAAACCCTAAATACTAGCTTCCTTATTTTCCATTATTCCCATTTACCTCTAGAATCCCTGTAGTTTCCATTTTATTTTCCATTAACCCTCTGTCTTTGCTCTTTTTGGCCCAGATGGCCGCTCTCAGAGTTTGCCCAGCCATGTCCCTGCACACTGCGGGCGCCGCCGCCGGCCTTGGGGCCACCAAAAAGGCCTCCAAGGAGCAGCTCTTCAGGGCTCTTCGGGGAGGGGATTTCAAAAATTCAAGATGCAGGGTTGCAGGTCTAGGGTTGTGGGAGTTAAGGGTTTAGGGATTGAAACATGTTCAGTGATTTAATGATTTGGGATGTAGGGCTCTAGGTTTAGGGTTTGCATTTCAGAGCGCCGTCCTGCAGGAGCGCTTACCGACCATAAGCGAGGACGAATGCCAAGATTTGGAGCTAGAAGCAATGCAGGCGCGCAAAGCAGACGCTTGTGTCACGTTGAAGCCTTCTGTCGTGCAGCTATCAGAAGTTGCTCTATCCGGAGTGGTTGTTGTTAAGAATGCAAGCCTCACGTGCTTCGTGCTGGTTCCTCTGCAGATTCGCAGAAGTCTTGCTGACTCCTACGGAGACTTCCTGTGCCCCTTGGCCAGTCCATCTACTTGCTTGTTGCTTCAGCGAGTTTTGGAAGCAGACGTCTGAACACACAACTAAGGCGGAAGGACAGATCCACCCCTGACACGCAATTTCATCAATCTCCTAAAGGCTGGACGCAGCAGGAGATGTACTGTGCCACATGGGCCCTGTAGAACATGAGAACTAGAGTAGGAACTCCAGGCAGGAGGAGGTGGAGGGGGGAGGAGAAGCAGGAGGAGGGGAAGCAGAAGCGGCAAGACTCATCGCAGACATGATTGGAATGGAGATGCGTTGAGTCCCTTGAGTTCATGTTGTACTTTCACTCCACGGTGCGGACATATTGACAGATGGTGAGCGCTTGTCGCCTTGTTCCAGCCACCACTCTTTGGCCGTGGTAGATCCAGTCTTCAGAGGATGTAGCCAAGAGGTATTATCGGTGTAGCTTGGTGAAGGTACATAATGATTAAGGAAGCTAGGGTCCTCTTCCTCTTCACTTCGCACCAACCCGCAAGACTAATCCTGTATTCTCAGAGACCGTTTCTGAGCTAGCTTCAGCAGGGGTGCCTTGCCATCCAAGCAGGGCGATGGATGTGGGGCAAAATGGAGCAAAGCAGCTTCCATCGAGAGATGATGCATCCACAAAACGTGGCGCCACAAGCACTTGGCTTCTTCCCAGAAACTTACAGAGGGTCAGGCAGCAGGGGCTTCAGAACGGGCAAATATGCTGATCTGGCAACTGTCAAGACAGCATCCGATCTTTGAGCGTTTCATGCTGCTGCTTTCGCACTCCATCTAACGAGCAGTTTACATCTGCTTTCGCCAAGCCATGTGCATGTTGCAAGTGGAGTCCTAATGAAGGTTGTAAAGGGCTGGGCTGTCTGTCTTTCAGGCCAGAGATGTCGAGAGAAGTCTGGCACGAAGCTCTTGGAATCTGTTGTAGGATGTCTCCACGAAAGAAGTCCCAGACGCCAATCAGGTTTGACCTCCAGCTGGCAGAAAGTCATTGAAAGTGGACTCTGTCCAGCTAGGTGTAGGACCGCATCCTTCCTGCCAAACCCCCTCCACAGCCAAATCCATGTGACGGAAATATTCTGGGTTGCTGTCAAGGAACTTGAATTATCTTGCCATAATATGGGTATGTAAGAAATATTTGATTTCCTTACTATACTCATTTAGTTTAAGTTCTTCAACAGCAGCCCAGTATTATGCTTCCGACAAGTTCCGCCCACCGTCACCTCCAAGTCCCCGAAGAACTGATTTGGAAGACCTCACACACCGTTCATTCGAGCAGAAATGTAGGGATATCCCAATAACAGAGAATCACATGGAAAAGACCATGGAACATAAAGTGGAAACTGGGGAGGACATGTTGCAGGCGGCTTCCATGAAGGCAAAAATTGAACAAAGTTCATCCACCTTGTGCAAGCGCTCCCTGCCGCTCTTGACCCAGTGACTTTTGGGTTCCCTTGCCGAAATCCGGATCATGAAAGGGGCAAAGAATGAGGCTCTTGTATGTTTCCAAATCTGGGCAAATAAACTGTATTCCGGTCCAACTATGGAACAAGTGGAAGCCTTAGGGTGTTTGGTCCTTGCGTTCCGCTTGCCCAGCTGCAAACTCGGCATGCAGCCAGGTACCGAGCACAGTGAGGAAACACGTTGGACTTGCTTTGCAGTCATTCGCGTGAGGCAGCAGACCAACATACTCGGAGAGAAGCCCTTCTTTTCCTAGCTCCTGCGCTCCCATCCTTAGCACACTCGGGGCAGTCCATAGTCCGTGCTGCGATCGAAGTGGCCACAAGCTCTGTGGCCTGGCAGCACACACTGAAGATTCGGGTCGACCCTAAACCCTAAGCCTTAAAGCCAAAACAACGTGGATCTTCGAAGCTGAGGACAGGCCTATTCTGGTCTCAGCCTTCCGTGGTTCAGTTCTGGAGTTGTGCCAATCCAAATCAGGCTTCGCATGCTCATGGCCCTCATCAGAGCACGTCCATATATCAGTCCCTGTATAATCCCCAATGTATACCAGTCTGAATTTTCTGTTACATTCCCTAAGCCTGAGTCTGGAACCCTAACCCCTAGAGCTCAAGAAATGTTGTTTGCAGGCCATGAGATGCTTGTGTTGCTCATTGACAGCGTTCCGGTTTTCTCTCTTGGCTTCATGGTTGGCGAGATGGTGCACCACTGTGATCCTTGTTTGCAGCCTGCCCATAACCAACTGCTAGCAGAGCATGAAATAAACAAAGCACTCCAAACGGATAAGACCGTCCGCTCAGGAGCGGCTCTCGCAGCATCGTCATGCTTCTCATGTCATGGAGTGCCATGGGCTGCAGACTCACCTCAGCATGATTCATTTTGGCACTCTACTTCGCTGCGGGCTGTACCGGATTCTATTTCTCTGCTGCTCATGCTCACAGACCTGCCTTTGGAGGTCAAGGCAAGGTTGCGTGCTATCAGAGTGATTGTGATATGCAGCAAGGTCGATGTTGTTGCACTTCCATCCCTCCCAGCTAGTGGAGATCTCCTCGAGAGTGGTGGAGGCAGTTGGCACGCAGCAATGTGATCCTTCGTATTGCGGAGACGGACATGTGTAACAGTAGTTTTTTGTTTTGATACATTTGAGCAACGCGGTCGTTTACTGCTAGACAACACTTGCAGGTACATCTTTCAGTTTCGTCTCCTGGAACCAGCCCTGCTCAAGCAGGTATACTCATGTGACATTCAGGGACCTAAGCCCTAAACTCCTAAACCCTAAACCCAGAAATCCCTGAACCACATCTCTGGGCTCATGCTGTACCTTTCCTCAAGACAGGGTGGCTTCCAGAGCTTTGCTCTTGGGGAACGCTGTAGCAGTAACCGCACTGGTACATTCCCTGATTCCCGAGTGACCGCCAGTAAGTTTCAGAGTGCGGACACGTGACATCAATTTCATTTGAGGCCCTGGCCCTACGGTTGATGGGTTCAGGGACCATGGGTGGTGTGGAAGAACAGGCTGCACCGTCTCTGGCAAGAGATCCTCACGGAAGCCGTGTTCTGCAGACTTTGATTGAGCAGCGCTGTCTGAATTTGATCCTTGCAGCTCTCAGATGCCAAAATGCTACAGCTGCTTTTGGCAGAAACTGCTTCAGTTTGGATGAGGTATGGGAACCCCGCTTGCCGAGAACAGCTTTTTCGGAAGCTGTGGCCTGAGATGGCGATGCTGATGTGTCTTGGCGGGAATGCAGGACACATTTTGGCAGTTTCCCCAAATAGGGGACCCGGACGTAGCATTATCATGGGGGCTTAGAAAAGGGACCCTAATCTCGGAAACCCTGAAAAGATAGTACCTTCCATTTTCTTTCCGTTATCCCAGTTAAAAGGGAACCAAAAGATGAAAGAAGCTCAGGATGCATCGGACTGGATCGCAAGTTCTGCGGAAAGCACTGGAAATCAGTGATGGCTTGCAGCCCGCCTCCCAGTTGCTAGATTTGGCTGGGGAGGGGGTTTGAATATCAGTGGATAACGCTCAGCTGAAACCTGCAACTCTGAGGCAGCTCATTGCTGAGGCAGTGCTGGAAGGAGATCGTAAAAAATCTGTGCAGGCCCTCAGCGACATGCACATAAAACAACGACGGCAGTCAAGCCAAGGACTTTTCAAACGAAACAGCATTCAGCACTGTTGTAAACAGGTCGTCAACATCGCCTGCAGCCGATGCGGGAGCACAATCCTCCAGCAGATTTCCGCCTGCAGAAGTCCGGTCATGGAAGAAATCCACACTCGACTCGCAGAGGCTTTCAAGCACAATGATCAAGAGTTTTTCTCGAACAGCAGCTGGGGACGATTATCAGTAAGATTAGAAATAGCCGCAGCACTCACAGCACTAGTGCCAGTAGTGCTACTAGTAGTCAAAACGACCGTCATAGTAATGGTAACCAACAGCGATAGTTGTAGCAATAGTACTGGCAATAGTAATAGTGATAGCAATCGTAAAAGTAAGAGTAACAGCGATAGAAACAGCAAGAGTGACGATGATAGTTATAGAAATAGCAACAGGAACGGTAACAGTAACAGTAAGAGGCATGGTAATGGTAATAGCAA